TAGAGGTAAAAACGATATTTTTTTAAAATTTTGGCTGTCTATCTATCTATATGTTTATTCTGAAATTATTTATATCTAGGTTTTTTCGTATTATCAAAATAAAACAAATGAAAAAGTCCACTTTTAAATGGTGTATCAAGATGAAATATACACCGGATTTTAAGGTATATCTTCTTAAACATAACTGTGAATCTAAATTCTTGTGAATTTAGTATATATATATATATATATATATATATATATATATATATATATATATATATATATATATATATATATATATATATATATATATATATATTATATATAGATTAATAGAAGCCAGAAAATTCTTTTTTATTTATTTTTTCTTTTTATTATGTTGATACTTCATGGTTACATCTGTGTATATTTCTTTTCCTAATAAATCTATGTATCTTTTCATATTTTATCAATCAGATGGCAATGCCGACTTTGATATAACGTAATTATTTGCTGTGTAATTTTGTCTATACCAATAAATGTTAACTGAGACGGTATAAAAATAAAATATAGGATAGTTATTAACTTTCACAGATTTATTACACAAAAACTATCAGAGGAAAAACTATCTGGATTTTCCGTATCCCGTATAACTGGGACCGCTGTGAAAGGAGGTAAATAGAGGACAAACATTGACGTTGAACAATATGGAGTCGCAGAAAATAAAAATAACAATAGAGGAGCTCTTGTACACTTCGGGAGCAAGGTTTATTTGGTTCGGTCCTTTTCATTGTACAACGTTATGTCAGGTATCGTATGGTTTTATTTCATACGCGACATTCTGTTCTATATATTTTTTTTTATAACACAAGGGGCAAACGGGCACGAGACTCACCAGATTGTAAGTGAGTACCACTTACAATCTGCCACCTACATATGAACATTCTCAATATATATATATCACATACTAGCTTTTACTTGCGACTACGTCTGCATGACCGAGATATGTTTACTGACCGGAATAAAAAGTTGTCTATATTCGTCTCTTCTTTTCCATCCCATATACTATGTGTATATCATATATTTCATAGTGACTGGTTAAGGTGCTATAAAATAACAAAACAACAAACAAACTTATTTTCACTAATATAGTAAGAATATATTTATTTAAAGGGAAAGTATAATAATATTGCACATTACAAGAGTGAACTTATTTCTAGAACAAATATCAAATTGGAGAGTAGTATTAAATGGATTTTTTATTACGATATGAACTTTGTTTAGGTGTATTTTATAACTGGTCTTTACCCGCGACACCATCCGTGTAAACGGGATATATGATTGGTATGAAACGTGGCCATATTTCATAACGATAAAGTCGCCAGAGATAACAAACAAAAAAACAAAGTCACTTTCACATTTATGATATTGATATCAGTAATAAGTAATTTATTAAATTTATTACAATACTTTCATTTACTATAGCATTATATTTGAAACTATAATTTATGATAATATACTAATCCTGGTATGATGTAGAATGTGGCTGTGTTTCGGTCTGAAAGGTGGGATATGGCGTGAATTTACTGGGTACAGAGGAATAACACCTGAGTCCTCAGGAATGGCAACGCATGGGGGATATCATGGGCGAAACAGTATACTCTGTTAAGTCCATGGTACTGCTCATGTCTATAGGCGACGGTTACCACTTTCCATCAGGTGGTCCGTCAGCTTGTTTGCCATTCTAAGTTGTATAAAAAAAAATGTATCAGTTCTAAAATGCTCGAATCGAAATATAAAAAAAAACCTATCAATTAATTGTCAATAATAATCATTAGAATATTTTTATAATGTTATAATAATATTTATATAACAATAAAAGCAAAATAAAAAGTCTCTTGTTTATTTTTAATGGTAGTAAATAATTTTGTCAAAATATATAACAAAATCATAAACTATACAGGTAAATAAGCACAAATATATAGTACATAACAATAGATGTAATCTAGACAAGCGATTCGGGCACAGTCGGTAGCAAATGGATTGGGTGTCACGGTACGGAATACACGTAGTTTCATCCGTACTACGAATTGCTGAAGTGAACAGTAATTTATTGTTGTTAGTTTAAAAAGTATGGAAATTTCGATTTCGCGTAGATTGGTTGCATTAAAAGTAATTAAATTGTGTGTGGTCCCAGCATAGAATAGACTACCCCTTTCTTTCCCGTGGGTGTCGTAAAAGGCGACTAAGGGAGAGTGGGGGATGGGCAGCAGCGTCTCTCTGAAAACATTTCCAAAGCCTAATTACGGTTGCCAATCCGCCTGCCAAGCGTGGCAACTACTGGTAAAACTCCCCAAGGGGGAAGCTTATGTTCAGTAGTGGACAGTTAAAAGTTGATATGATAATGATGATGATGCTGAAATTATCCTAAATCATTTGTTCTATTTAGATTTAAATAGTAATAATTATTTAATTAACTAAATAATTATTTGCTCTTTGGGAAAACGATCCATTATCAAAATTTATGAAATTTTTGTAGGATAAGATTTGTCACAGAAATATTTCAGGTAGCTGAATATGAGATATAAATATTATTCAAGCTAGATTTAGTTCCGTCTGTTATGATCGAGAAAAAGGTTGGTTCTATGTATTAAAGTTAATCAAAATAATAAAGTAATCAAAATTTATTATTTCAATATCTTCTTATTTTTGTAAGGCATAGATATAAGTTGACATACAAATATACAAGTTTATAACCAATTTCCTCCATATGACGAGTTATGTATAAGCATATCTGATTGCCCGGGATAAAAAGTATCTATGTCTATACCTACTTTAAAATTAATGAATTCCTTTGCTATACTCAAATAAATAACAAAGGAAAACAACGAAAAATTCATTTCAAATGTTGGTTAGACCAGTATCTTTCCAGCGGAGTCGCTGGCAGAAATGCAGGGTGTTAATTTTTTGTGTAGGACGGAGGCTTTTAGGGGACAATGATTAATAGTTGAACAAGAAACATGTATCTCTCTTTTTATACCATAGCCAGTTTCTCTGTACTTCGTTTTCCTCTAAAATCTTGTCGATTTCAGACTAAAAGTTGTTTGTCGCGGGTTCAAGTTAATCTGGTCATACGAGTATTTTGAAATGTGCTTTCAGACAGAAAAATGTCGTGAAAGGAAATCGCCTGTGTCATTGCCACATTATTATGAACAGTTGGATACCATTTGCTTAGTTTTCTACATTTATGTATTACCTTTCAAATTAAATGATCCTGTGTATTTCTTAGCAAACAAAGCCGTATCATAAATATTTTATTGGGTAATTTTATAAATCATTAAATGGTTCATTTAGTTCGTCTGTATTACTTTTATAAATGTGTAGGAAAACATAAAAAAAAAACAAAAACACAGTTAATGCGCTGTAATAAAAAGGGAAAATGGCGTAACTCGTCTGGCATTAAAGACCCGAAGATAAGCTGAAATACTCCTGTCAACTTATACATCGTTAATTTTGCTGCGAAACTCCAGTTTTTATTGTCGTAATTTTTCTCTACCCTAAAATATATTATCCTTTTCGTCGACATGTGACACAGTGAACACATTTGTCTTTCTATACTCCGTAATAAAAACTACTTAGGGTAAGCTCTGTTGGTTCCTATATAGGTAGTTGATTAAACGTCAAGTCAAGGTAAAGGGCGGATATCCGAACGACTACCTACGAGGTACGAGCAACAAGCGTGTACACAGGCTTTTGTTGACAAGGTTTTCTTGGATGGCTGCCATCGTATTTATCTAAATTTATCTTTGGATCCATTAGAAAATTAGTAATATCGTTTTATTTTTAAAACTTATATTCATTTTTAACGTTTTTAACGTCAATTTAACATTCAGAGGGAGTATAGTGCTTTACCTTACAGCATTTCGCCTACCACTGTAACAATTGTAGAAAATGATAAACAAAATAAGTCTAAGTAATAATAATCATAAAATTCATTATATGTACATATAATGAATAGCAATGTATATATATAATATAGCAATATTCCCTTAGGATTTTAAAAAGCAGCAACAGATTATATCGTTATAAGCTTTTATCTTTCTGTTGTAACTTGTAATTATTTCAATGAATATTTGTATAAAAATGTATTTTATTATTTGTTTGTTTTAAGGATAATGTTTTCTATCAGCATCCTATAAAAATCTAAATTAAGACCTAACACGATTGATAGTGATTGTTATTTTCTTAACTTTGTAATGAATATTTAATTTCATCCTCTATTTATGTATAATTAATTATACTTATGTTACTTATTGTTATGATCATATAGTATACATGTTATTATAGTTTTTTTTTTTTTAAAGAAGGCAAACTAGTTCGTGGCTTATCTATTGGAGACTATTGCCGCCCATGAGCGTTCGCCACCAGATGAATTGCAGACATGTTCCAGTTTTATACAATTTTTTATTATTATTATATCAGCTGTTAACTCTCTACTGCTGAATATTGGCGTTCCCTATAAGGGAGAGTTTTGCCAGTAGTTGCCATGCTTGGCGGGCGGGTTGGCAACCGCAGTTAGGCTTTCGGTGATGTTTTACGAGGGCCACTTTTGCCATCCTTCGACCCCTCTTACGATACCTATGGGAAAGGAAGAGGTGGCCTATTATATGTCGAAACCACATGACGATTATATTTAAACTATAATTTCAACTAATTAGCTCACATTTCGACAGATTTATCTTATATATTAGATTTAACCTACATATTACATTTCCTTATTTATCTTTAATATTTTCCAGAACAGTTTCTCACACTTTTACAAGCTGAAAACAGCTGGCCTTAAGTTTTATAGCAAGTCATTATACCCTCCTTAGTGAGGGAGCGATGTGAAACATTTCTTACCTGCTTTCGATATTGCTCGGGGTAACATATGAAGCTAGGACCCTCTGGTTACGCATATAAGAGTGCTAAGGTAGGAGATGCGCGCGTCTGTTGAGACCTCCGGGAGGCTCTATCCCCCCTCAGTAAAGTCCTGCTCGTCAGGTCGGCTGCACGCGTATGGGCGGCAAAATCTGATCACTTTCCGCCTACGTTCGTAATTATTGCGATGCCACAGTTTTCAGTGTTGTAAAGTGCTGTGAGTATTATATTTTGGACTTTTGTTGCGAATTATGGAGTCGTGAGGTAAGTTTTAATTATTATATCTAGTTTATTTTTATTATTTTTGTATTTGTATGTAATAAAAATCATAAATGTAAAAATTATTTTTATTTATGCATCGTTTATAATTGACTCAATGGATTAACGAAAATATTTTTAATTAAATTAATAATTACAATAGGTTATGATTATTCCTAATAACATTATTATTATTTTTCTTAATTATTTTCTTCTATATATAATGTTTCCTTATATATCTATTCTTTAATAAAAAAGAGTTTTAGTAGACGTAGACATATGGATAGTAATGTGATACAAAAAAGGTTTCTTTCTTATCATTTGAGGGACAACTATCAGTGGTTCAGTATAGATTCAATAAATGAGATTGATGTTCGTTGCCAATAAACATTTTCTTTTCTTTTCATAACAGAGAACGTCTTTTCTGTTAAGGGGAAAATAGCGAAAAAAGAACGAAGAAATATACAACTTATCATTAGATAAGAAATTGATAAAAACATATAGATGCGGTTACGTCTTTAATTCCATATAGACATATCAATTCTTATTTTTGTACTGATATTCAATATAATATGCGTATTATTTTGTAGAATGCAATATGGTTGAGTGATCCCATCATCTTTTAAGAATAAGTTTACCATGGTTAGACTGAGATATAAATAATTAACTAGAATGAATTAGGTCGATCAGGTATTTTTGAGACGGTATATTACGAGTATACTAAGAATAGTAACCACGTAATATATTAATAGTACCACGCCCATAATCTTAACAATAAATTCATAGGTTTTTTTTGATGGGTGAAAATGGTATGGTAACCCCGCCTGAAATTCATAGGTATTAGAAGCTGGAAAACTTGTAAATACATTTGAAAATTTTTACTTAACAATATTTAATGGACTGAAAGGATTTGAATGAATTTGGATACAATTTTGTACTTATCTTTTAACTTATTAGACCCCGATAAAGCCGAGGGATAAGTAGTAATACACTCTTTTATTTTAAACTATACTAACGTAGATTATATGTTAGAAAGCGTAATTGACGTTAGATAGATTTATTACTTAGTATTTATTCACAGTAAGTGCATTTTCAAAGATAAAAAGATAAGAATGTTTTCATTAATTGTCTAACCTATGAGAGAATATTCCATTGTCAACGCATGAAATTTTTATGAGGAAAGATCTGTAATCACAGATCAACCTGTTAATTTGCAGATAGGAAGACTATTAAGCTAGAAGTAGTCCTGTCAGCTATAAACGGAAATACGTACCAAAATTATGTTTTTTGACTTTCTGGAAAATTTGACAAATTTTGCTTTCCCTAAACTCCTGGATTATTATGCACTCTTAAAAGAAACTACTAAACCAATTTTTTTGTTCTCAAGTGATATACTTACTAACGATACAGCATTTTATTTTCAATTAAATAGATTAATGATATATAAATGAAAGAATTTTTTATCATTCGAATAGTTTCGCTTGCGTAGTTTTTAAAATACATAAAATATTTTCTCTTAATAATATTAAAATTATAGATATTTTATTATCTTTATAATTAAACTAATTGTGTTCACGATTTCATCTGTATGATCATAATGAAAAAAGCCTATTTTAATTTTTTTGCCAAATACAATGTGTAAATTTCATGAGGGGTCTATCGACTTAATTTATCCAAGCCGTGAAGGCGCTAAGATGTTATTAACTAGCAAAAACCCATATTCACATTTATTAATAAAGATAATGATTTCTAATTTAAAATTTTTGTTTTATTTTTCGAAGCATTTGGCGTTCCATTGTTTCTGCCTATCCCAATGGGAGACAGGCATGGCATATTTGTATGTATTTACAATTTTATAATTACCACATATGTCTTAATTTTATATTAATACATTAAGAAGTCATTAATATCTCTGTTTAAATAGTTTATTTATTGTTATTTACTGTCAGCGAAGGCTAAGATCGAAATTGAAACCCCATATTTCTTTTATGTCAGTATTTACGAGTATTGTAATTTTTTATTAGTGTATATTACGTATTATTTTATTTATCCCTAGCATTGATGATGTAGATATTTAATAAAGGTTACCGACTAAAGTATTTATTTCTGTTGTATATATAATAGTTTGTAAAAATGTTTCGATATTTGTCATTCCATAGCAAGATATCTTAATGGATTTCGATTAAATTATGAGGTTACTTTTTATTGGAACTGATGTGAGTAAGACTGTACTTTTATTTATTTAAAATGTCATAGTTATGCATAGATTTTATTTTTTTGTAGTAAAATAACAAAAGTCGTTATTTTGTTGACAAAAAATTAAAATAATGCTGCCAAAATGACGATAAACTTTCTATTATTTTCGCTATTGCTAAATATTTTTTTAAACCTTTTAAACATTATATATGTATTGAAATTAGAAGCCCCTCCGTTTTAAATTCGGTTGAAAATATCACCCTCAAACGGAATAATAATTTTGACTGACCTCTTTGTATTCCCTCGATCTCGGGATCTGTAGCACTTGTATCAACATGATTTAAAAACAACATAAATAACTCCAACGCTTTTTAGTTACATGACAATACAAACAGAGATGTTAGGGATATAGTCATTTAAATCCATTGTCATCTTTCGGGTATCATCTTGAACTCTGCCAAGAGAACCGGTCAAAAATGTGTCGAACGAAGATGTTGACGTTACAAATTCGACTTTATCACCATTGGATTTAGGATGTTGCACAATATAGATGATGCGTTCAATTCGATTGTGATATAATACAAAGAAACAGCGATAAAACAGATAACAGCAGGCGTTACAAAGGCGCTAACAAAAGCATCGTGTACATAAAACATACGCGACCCACAGCTAGACTAAAGCTATCCGTATAGATGTTCTTTGAAATTTAGTGTATGACGTAATATATGGTAGAGTTGTAAAAACGCATTAAACTATAACACCGTACTGTGAATGATGGGTATAAATTGTTTATAAATAAAATGAATCAGTACTAGCGACCTGCCCCGGCTTCACTCGAGTAGATAGATAATGATACAGTTAGCAATAAAATTCTATTCTAGTATAGAATAGAATTTTATTGCCAACTGTGTACATACATATGCAGTAAACATTGCTTTGGACTTGACATCAGTATCAACGGTTATACCCTATGGGGCATGCAACAATTTAAGAACAGGTAATTTAAATAAAAAAATAATCGTGCTCGCAATTACATTAACATTTAAATATTTAAATACTATTAACATTACATGTATGATGATATATAACTTATGTTATTCGCTAACAATCCAGCTTATTATTATAGGGCGAAGAATGGGCAGCACTTAAAAAGCCTAATTGTCACTGCTAACCCGCTTGCCAAGCATAGTAACTACTGTCAAACCTCCCCTTAGGGGGAAGGCTTATGTGCAGCAGTGGACAGTTAATGTCTGAAAGAATAATTATTATAGGTAAAACAACAATAAATTCGGATTGATTTTTTTATTAATAAAAAAATAATATACAATCCGTATTTTTTCTATACTAGGCCATATCAGCCCGTCTTATTGTCAATAAAATCATGCAAAGCCAGGGCGGGCTGCTAGTATTAATATTAAATTATGAGATTTTCTAAATTAATAGATTCAAAAATATGGTTAACATTATTTTAAAGAAGATTAATTACAATATTAATGTTTGTTAAGGGCTGCTTAAAGACACAATTGTTCCAACAATTTCAATTTCGCCCATTTTATCTTCTGTCACATCAAGCGGGTATCTATTACGAAATTGCGATTTGATAAATCGCCAAACATTATTATGGGCGGTGAAAGAAATGGACGTACTCAACTTGAAATGATACTGCGACTAAAGTGGAGATTTTCCACAAAAACGAACTTTATTTGTAAACACGTAAAGTTTATTGTTCCAGTTTGATGTGTAGTAAAATAAATATTTTATTAACCTATAAGGAAAGCATAATGGTACGGACGGCTATAGTGATTCTTATGGTAAATTGTCCGCCGATTGAAGGATATTATTAATACATTAAGAAAATTACAGGAATAGCTTATTTTTTATATATAGGTAAGTTTTATAATGAGTTCATGTATCATATGCATATATTATATTGATTGAATTCTGAATTATTGTCATATTTTTATTATCATGTAGTTTTGAGTTATTGTACTATTTACTGAGAATAAAAAAATTTATAACAAAAAGAGTAAACAAACATGCGGTTTACCTGATGGTAAGTGACTACAGTGCTATGAGCACTCACAATATCTAATAAGTTTACTATTGTAATCTTTTGGAGGAAACAATAAAGAGTATCTATCTATCTATCTATCTAATATCAATAACAATTGTAGGCGTGCTGCCAGCCTCTTAGGAAGGTATATATTATGGCCTTTTCTTGAAGCTTTTAATGTCAGCTGTTTGGGAAAGTTCCATATAGCAATACGTGAAAGGTAGTTTCTGAAAAAGTGTACATAGTGGAGGAGTGTCACTTTGCCAGATAATTGGAAAGGAACTTTATACGATGTAGGAAACCACGGCCCTCGTTTTCAAGAAATTCGGCTCTGAATACCCATGACTGCCTATTTCAAACGTAAAGTTTTGAAATACATATTAATCTATTTATGGTATTTCTGAATGTATATAACATGTTTACTGATAAATGTATTGCATAGTAGGTTGGGTAATATTTACTAAAATCAAAACAAATTGATTGTACATACGTTGTATATATATATATATATATAATAAAATTATCGTAAAATTATGCGAGAGTTACCAAAAACAAATTTATTTAGATGTATATAGATTTGCATCGCATAATGAAGCCTCTATTATTATAAGGTATGAAGGCTATACGGAGGGTGAAATGTTGTGACATGTAATTATAATAAGTGATGTAGACCAACAACACTAGAGTTTCCTATTATTATTATTATTATTTCAACCGTTAACTGTCCACTTTTCCCATATAAGAGGGGTTTGCCAGT